CCATGAGCCTCTGTTTCCTTTTGTAAAAAAAAAAAAAAAAAAAAAAAAAAAGATAGATTAATGCATCAATGACCTCCAGCCAAAGATTCTTCCTTTTGGCAATGGAGACAGACTCAAGCTATAGGACATTTATCTTTGACATCCAGATTTTGCTCTTTGCTGAATTTATACTGATTAGGGTCAAGAGGGTGTCCAGAGAGTGTAGTGTGTAGTTGGACTAAGGGTTGGTCTTCTCCTCTTTCTTTTGTTGCAAGGTGAATTGCTGGCTCCTGTGACTTGATAATTCCTGCACAGTAGCACCAAAGACCCTGGGCATAATATATCAGTTAACTGCCACACAGGCAATCATTACAAACAAAAGGCTGAGTTGTTCCTTGTGACAGGTCTTAAAGTCAAAGAGCCCAGATTATAAAACTCAGACAATGAAAACATGTACTTAAAATCCATCTGGGTCTGTTTTAGAGAGCCAGGTGCTTTCTCTTTTACTTAGTCACATACTGCCCTGCTTTTCCTATAGTATTGACAATGGGATAGCAAGACATTTTTACTGCAATATAAATTTCTCTTTGACTACCTGAGACAAACTTTAGGGCCATATGATTATCCACACAATGATCAACTCTGGCTAATGAAGTTTACACTGATCTGCTGGATTTCTAGAGGAGAATCTGCTTCATTTATGGTGTCTGTTTATGGCCAGAGACAAGTTTGGACTATCTTTCTCTGCTGTATGAATATCCTGCTGGGGGAACTGTAGCTCTCAGAGTATGCATGTTGTACTCTGTGCTTGCCTGTTTTGGAGGTTTCTGAGTATACTTCTCAGGAGAACGTGATTCAATGGGAGGGTAGTGATTTGAAGCATCTGAAAGTCTCTAACAGCTATCCTGGATACATAGGTTAAGTTAGTGTTTTTCAGGTGGGTGTAAACCCAATGTCCATGTGAGAAGTAATCCCCTAGAGGGTCAAAGACTGGGAGTGGGAGAATAAACATCATTTAGCATAACAGTAGTGAGCCAGGTATTTGTCCCTCAATTTGGGCAGATTCCTTGAGTGGATTCAAATAGTTCCTGCAAAGGAAGAACAGATTGACTCTTGTAGCTAAAAGAGCCCTGATAGTAGTTTCCATTTTCAATGGGCTAAGTTTTGCCGATATGATTGTAATAACCTTAGCACAAGCATCTTCTTGAAGTGGAGTAAGGTTCAGTTTTTTATAGAATCAAGTCTGGATTATGTAAGAGAAACTTAAGAACCAGAAGATACACGTAGAAAAATAAATATTCTTCTACCTTAGGTAGAAGTAAATTCACAAAGCTGTGCAACCATCATCTCTAATTCCAAACATTTCTTCACCCCCAAAAGGGAATCCCTTTTCCCCCAAAAGGGAACACCTTACATGTTAAACATTTAAACACCTTAAATGTTTAAAAATGAGTTAAATTTGTAAAAAATCAGTTAAATTCAGAGCAGTAGCTAAGGTCGGAGAAAACCACAAGAGTTTCATTTCTTCTGAAGTGGCAGAAGACCTCAGAGAGTCAAAAACAGGTGGATTGTAAGGGATCAAAGAAAGGAGAGGAGTCAAAATACAGTAGGAAGCAGATGAGCCAGAACCTCAATGTCTTTTACATAAACACCTCCCAAATGAACCATTATCCTGATTCTTTTTAGTTGTATATAATTTTATATGTATGTGTATATATTTTTATTTTTAAATTTTTTTTTCAACATTTATTTATTTTTGGGACAGAGAGAGACAGAGCATGAACGGGGGAGGGGCAGAGAGAGAGGGAGACACAGAATCGGAAACAGGCTCCAGGCTCCGAGCCATCCGCCCAGAGCCCGACGCGGGGCTCGAACTCACGGACCGCGAGATCGTGACCTGGCTGAAGTCGGACGCTTAACCGACTGCGCCACCCAGGCGCCCCCTATATTTTTATTTTTAAATAAGTTATGGAAACAGCATAACTTACCTACATCATAAAACCAATGTAGAAACTTGGGAAGTATGAACTTGAACCAAGGCCTTGTTCAAAGCAAAACATCATACTGACATATTTGTATATGGTAAATTTTTTTAAGAACTGTGAATCAAGCCCAGGACTCTCTATCTTGGAGCTAAAACCTTCTCTTATTATCTCACAAATGTGGTAAAAAGAGAGAGAGAGAGAGAGAGTAAGAGACAGACTATTATCTAAATATGCTTTCTAGTGTTGACAAAAAGGGACACAATTGAACAACTTCCTGTGTAGACATTTTTGACTGTTTATCTGGATTCTAGACAGTGCTAGAACACACACATAAACACACACACACACACACAACTGAATGATGCTTTTGATCAGCTATCTTTATAATTTCCAAAGGGTGAGAATATAGAAGGACAGAAACAAAATCAGAGGGAGCTAGCTTCCAATAAGTATGAAATTATCACTACAAGGCTAATGAGATTCTTTCTGCAAGGAAAGGTAAAAAGGTTAGCTGTAGAAAAATGGGTTTTGACATATACACTTGAAAGAGAGTGACATTATACTGTTTTAGACAATAGCTTGGGCCCTTGACATTTTATCAAACTGTATGATAAAAAGCCAGCACTTAATAATCCCTGAAGTATGGAAACAAAGGAGAAAGCCTGTGTCTCTTATATTAAACAAAATGATCTCTCTTTTAGACATGACAAGATCTTCGTGAGGGTTTCTTCACTTTTTGTACTATATCTGTACCATCTGGTTCATGTCAAAATTCCCTCAAGTAGCCACTGCAATTCCAAATTTTCTCTTATATTGTGTTAGAGAAATAAGGAGATGCCTTAACATGTTCAAGAATAATAAAGCAGTGGGTGTTTGGCCCAGAAAAGTGCCATTTTAGACAAAGAAGACCCCAAGAAAAGGGAATAGACTGTAAGGATACTTTGTGTCTTGGAGCTTTGTCAAAGGCCAAAAGTTGATTATCACCAATCAGGGGCCAGCCAAAAGTCCTCTAGCTTCTAGGCAGAAGAGACATTAATGAGAGCAGTTTCTTGGAAGAACACAATGACCCAATTGGGGAAGAAGCCTTTTTGAAATGGTGACCTCAGGTAAAGCCTGTCCCAAAGGGTTCTAATCCAAAGAGATCTCCTGAATTCCTCTGGCATGGAGACCAGCTGAAGGATGGACTTCTTGGCCCTCATCTCTGCTCTTCCTATCAACTTCTCCACCTAAAGACAAACAACACTTAAGACATTAGACAGACAGACACTGGAGCAGCTGTTAGAAGGCTACTCAACAATTTCACCAGGGAACAGTCCAAAGATGACTAGATAATAAAGAAGTCCCTCAGCATCAAATTTCTAGGAAAACAAAATAAGCTCAAAGTAGAAAAGCCTCAAGGAAACACTGGAATTCTGAGCTTACCGCCTTGCTAGGGTCTGCATAATTTCCCAAACAGGCAGAGAGTCAAGAGGTTTCAGATGTGAATACCATAAAAGAGGCAGGGGTCACTTGGTTTGAGGAAATGAGTGTTTCTGCTGTGTCTCAGTAGAAACTTCATTTCTGCCAATATTCTCAGTTAAAAACCGCCAAGAATGTACCTCTGATTGAACAAAGTTGAGTTCATTGATGTCGCAAGAAGGAAGAATGCACACCAATTAAGAGAATGTTAGTAAACACTTATGGGGTTTTGGCTTGTGTCTGGTGATTTTCAGGAGTGTTTAGGAAAGTGAGGCCTTTCTCTGAGTTGGCTATTGTCAGTAACCAGGTGTAATGCTATGATTGTATATCTTAGTTCTTATCTGGAAGATGAGAAGAATGGAGCCAGGCTCAATTTGTGGTTGGTAAAGAAGCAGTAGTCACTTGTATTGTCCAGGTGCTTGATATTCTGTGATTTGCACAGCAGCCTGATTTTTCGTCTGGCCTTAGACATGATTATGAAGTAGTCTTGTTTTTTGTCTCTCTTGGAGTCAGAGTGAGATTGTGTCTGATGTTCGTGCTCTGTGCGATTATTATGTCCAACAGAACACCATGGCTAACTCCTAACAAATTGAAGCCTAGTTGTGAATATCAGGCCCATTCTTAAATGTTGCGGGCCACTTTTCTCTTTCTTGTATGAACTAATTCTTCAGTACTGCTGAGAGACTCAAAATGGAAAAGAGGTATAAAAGAATTTGTAAAAACGTGAAACACAATGAGAATGAAGTGAATGATTCTTGACCCTTTTCTTATCTGGGAGGTACTAATCCAGAAACCTTGGCCATTGAGAACATCACTGGGAAATTGAAAGCAAGCAAGCAACAACTTCTAAGCACCTGAAATGAAAGTGCGCAAATACTTACAGTTTTTCTATTTATTCTGTTTTGCACATATCCTAACGAGCTGTGTTATCATGCTCACAGAAGGGAGAAGGCGAAGGGAATGCTCAGAAGCAGGAGCAAGGAGAGTAGCAAGTCCTGGCACATGGATGGGCCTTGAAGACATTATGCTAAATGAAAGAATCCAGATGCCAAGGACCACAGAGTGTATGATTCCATTTCTAGGGAAGTTTCCAGAATGGGCAAATCCAGAGAGACAGAAGGTAGATTAGTGGTTGCCAGGGGGCGGGGAAGGGGGGGACTGTGACAATTGATGGGTATGGGATTCCCTTTTGGGGGTGAAGAAATGTTTGGAATTAGAGATGATGGTTGCACAGCTTTGTGAATTTACTAAAACCACTTTAAAAGGGTAAATTTTATGATATGTCAGCTATATCTAAAAAATGTTAAAAAAGAAAGAGGGTGAAGATATGGCAAGGCACTAAGGAGAAGTTCACTCCCAAAGCAGGGCCATCAAGAGCTGCAAACTCTGCCCACGTCTTGATTCATAACCTCTGGGTTCTCTTCCATGTGATCCCACACATGCGTCCGGACACCCCTGCTGGCCAAGGTGCTGAAGGATATAAAGAGGACCAAGGTCCCTGAACTCTGGACAGAGCACCTCTCAGGGCAACAGTGGGCATTCATACTAATGACTCCCAAGCAAGTCACCACGAAAAGGTCACATTATCTTCAAAACTCTTAGTTTAAAAAGGCAGAGGAGTGGATCACAAGTAATTTGGAAAAAAAATTCAGTTTGCCAACCTTTTAAAGAAATCTTAAAACCTCTGGTGTCAAATTTCAGTTAGTTAGAAAGATAATGCATGTGGAATGGCTCATCTCCCATAGAAACCAGAGAATGAGATGCCACTGTATCTACGGAAAGGCAAATATGCCCACATATCTCAATAACCCCAGAGAGCGGGTCAGTTAGAGTGTTTCAAATCATCCAGTCTCCTGGGCATCTGGGATGTCATGGCGACTGCACCAATTATACTAACTTTTGTGATTTTCCCAAAATATTTGATGTGCCTCTTACTCAGGGGGCCAAGGGCAACACTAAGCAAGCTACGGTGGAGGGAAAGAGGGCTCATGGCAGAGGGCTGTGGTCAGGGCGGGGCGCCACTGAGGAGAGAAATCTGTCCCCTTTCAGCGGCTCTCTGTGGTTTGTTCTCTCTTCTCAGTGTGTGGGAGATACATGTGAGCCCTGCCTCCATTGTATGGCCGGGAAACCATTGCCAGTGTAGAAGTACCCACTATAGTTTTCTAGGTGGAGGAAATGGGGTAGGTGTGAAATGGGCACCCATCTCAGAATGGTTTCAGATTGTAGGAACTATGCACCATTACAAGCCACTGCTTTTGGTGGACAGCTGTGTCCACAGGTGGTTTAAGAGGGAGCCTCAGGGGCAGAGGGAGAGGAGAACGGAAGCCCTCCTTCAGCTAAACGTGAACCTGGTGAATTTGGATGAGCTCCTTAGCTCTAAATTGTTATTTCCATTCTCGGGCTCCTTCAAGGACCCCAAGCCTCCAATTTGCCACAGGCTTTGGGACATGGCGCCTGCTCTTGAAAGCAAGCATTTAGGAGTTTTTAAAGGCCTAAGTTCAAACCTGCTACTAGAAAAGATACATTTAAAGGGAAGATGCCCTGCTGTAAATTAGTGGCTTTCCATTGGGACCACACTTAGTGGAGTCCAGGGGTTGGTGACCCATGTCTTGAGTAATGGGAGACTAGAACCAAGTTGCTTGTGTGTGAGGGAGTCAGATGGAACAAAGGTTTCTTCATGGAAAAGCAAGTGGCAGTGATGGTAGTACCTGGGGAGTGTTTTGGCGATTGCGCTGTTCAAGACTGGATAGAGAGCCAAATCTGGGCTGTGCAGTCGGCTGTGCTTTTGGCAGGAATGAGAAGGGCAGGTTGGAGTGACAAAAAAAACCACCAAGAGTCTCTGTGTGGTGACTCACCCATGCTCCCAGCCCTCCCCCATCCATTCCCGTGAATCCGTATAGGTTTAAAGAGCCTGCCTATTAGTCAGACTCTCTCAGGGGGCACAGAGACCCTCTCAGGTTACTTTCAGTAATGGGGATTTATTGTAAGGATATTTCTGGAAATTGGGAGGCCTCAAAGCCTTAGGATTCCATAAACACTGAGGACAGATTGGCTTCTAGGAGCTCGGAACAGGATTCTGGACCTCAGGCAGCTCCAGGGGTCTGATTATCTCATACTCTCTACAACGAGGTAAAATCCCTCCATCCTGGTACTTGGCTCTCCACTCCTCTGTCTCTGCTTCTACTGACTCTGATGCTCTGTGCCTACAGCATGTGGTTTCTGCTTCTTCATGGCTTCTGCTTATTTGTGGCTTCTCTCTGTGTCTTTTAGCGTCTAGTCACACACCCTGCTGCCTTTTCTCTCACCTTCAAACTTCTCTAGAGAATTCAATTAGGCCCATGTTAGTAGCCACTTTCATGCTAGGCCACCTCCTGGGCCACTGGCCAATAAACAGGCTGCCCTTAAGTCTGATGCCTGTCCCTGGTCCCATAAGCAATAGCTGGGGTAACATTATGCGTTTTCTCCTGTGTCGAAGGAGACTGTTGGTGGTAGGGTGTGTGTGTGTGTGTGTGTGTGTGTGTGTGTGTGCGTGCACGCGCATGGAGTGGGGGGTGGTGGTGGGTGGAGGGGGTGAGGGTTTGAATGGGGGAGTAGCAGGTCTCTGAAGACTTGGCCTGTCTGAACTTTTGTCCCGGCAATAAAGACTATGAAGCACTTGGGAGGGCGGGTGCTTTGAAAAGATTCCAAAGGCCTCTAGGTGTGTGTGGGAGAGACACCAATATCCACAGCACTGTTTTTCCAAGTCAGATCTCCCCATCAGGTTGCAGAGAGTGGTAGGCTTGGAAGGTACTGCCTCATTCCTACTCTCTTCCTTTGTTTTTGGTTCTGTAAACGGGAATAGGAAAGAGTGACTGGAAAGGTTTGCAGAGCTCTTTCTGGCTACAGGAGGTGGTCTGCAGGTTGCCCTAAGAAATGGACTTCACTGTGCCCCTGGTTATTGACACCTTAGCTCATCCGAACATTTGCCTTTTACTTATTTTTTTAATGTTTATTCAATTTTGAAAGACAGAATGCGAGAGGAGAAGGGGAGAGAGAGGGAGACAAAGCATCTGAAGCAGGCTCCAGGCTCTGAGCTGTTAACACAGAGCCTGATGAAGGGCTCGAACCCACAAACCATGAGATCATGACCTAAGCCAAAGTCAGATGCTTAACTGACTGAGCCACCCAGGCGCCCTGAACCTTTGCCTTTTATATGCTAAACCTATCGTTTCTAAATCCTAAGGTAGTATTTGGAGCTTAGTAAGTGCTCAAATGTTTGATAAATGAATGGGTGTAAATGAAAACATGAATTTGACATCAGCCCTTCAAGGGGAGGTTGACTCAGAGAAGGTTGAGGTTGGGGCTTTGGTAGAACAAAGGCCTGGCTCTGAATCCTGGCTTTGCCACTTGGCAAGCTGTGACACAATGGGACAGGTTACTTAACTTCTCTGAGCCTCCCTTTCCTCAACTGTAAGGTTAGGATAATGCTCACGTCAAAGTTCTTTGGAAAGTCCAAGTGACTATATACTTCCTAGCACAGGGTCTGACACTGGATGCTCTAGTGTCCAAGAGCTGGGAGTATTAGGGCCAGCTCAAAGGGCCTGGAGGGTACGAGCAGACCATTTGCCACATGTGGACACAGGTGCACAGGCCCATTGGGAAATCAATGGGCAAATCCACATGCCAGCTGCTTGTCTCGCCTTCACCTCCCGGGGGGTTAGCAAGGCTGCCGTGCTGGGACTCAGGTACCAGTTCCAACAGCGTTAGGCTACAAATACAGCAGGTGGGGATTGTGTCCAGAAGCCAGCCTTTGGAAAACAGCTGGAGAACATCAGGATCTAATATGAGGGGAACGCCACCAGTGGTGCCAAAATCTTCATGGGGTAAATGAAGGCTTAGTCAAAGAACAAGTCTGTGGGGCAGGTTGGGGGCAAAAGCCCAAGAGCCATGAGGCATCTGGAGCCAAGAACAGGAGGCCCTGAGGTGGGAGGCAGAGAATGCTGTGCTGGGAGGGTGGCCTCTGACCACAGGAGGCCAGGAGGCCTCTCCTTCGTGTCTACCCTTCACCCATGTCAAAGATGCAGCAGCTCTTGGAGTCCCAACATGTGCCAGCTCATTGCCTTTCAGGCTCTTCTAGATGTAATGCACACAGAGGTGGTGGGAAATGGAGGTTCTAGGCAGGAAAGGCACTGTTTCCAGAACAGCTCCAGCAGTGACGCCTTGCTGAATGTGACTGTTGCGTGTTTATGTTCTGGTGGAGACAAGGCTATTGCAATTGCCAATGTCCGTCACTCCAGTTAAAGTCACCCTCTTCATCTTCATTACCCAGAACTGCTCTACCTCTTAATGCTGATATGCTGCAATCTCTTCCATCCCAGCTCTGGTCCTTGTGGTTGTCGGCCTTGTGACCTCGAGGACTCACTGCATCCAGGACTTAGCCTTTCCATTTCCTCTCAAGACCCCCAAGAAGTCCCCTCATGCCATCACTTGCTTCTCTGTGACACATTGTGCCAACCACGCCTGTGCTGCTTCCATTCCTTGGCCTCATTGTCTGCTCCTGTCAGCCGCTAAGGAGGAGCTGACCTTGACTCTGTCCAGCTGGATGCCTACTTTGCTCCTAGCTGAGGCGGAGCACAGCTGCCACAGGTCACACAGCCTCCTGCATTTAGGCCGGCACAAGATTTCTGATCTGCACTTAGCCCCTCCCTGGTGCCACTGCCTGCCCAGAGCCCTTCCCTGGACCCCGGCCAGCTTTATGTGCAGGCCCACAAAAGCTGTCACAAGCCTCTACCTGTCACTCTAGGTTTCTTTCCTACTAACTCATCTGTACCCACCCCAACTCCCAGCAACCTCACCTTGTACCTTCAAGGTCAAAATGAAGTTTCATTATGAGGGAAGATCCCACTCTCTGGCCCCTCTGGCCCACTCTTCCTGGTAGCTTCTCCTCCCATAACAATGATAACCAGCTCTTTGGAGTAAAGCTAATACTTGCCCACAGCATTGAGTTGCATCCTTTCTCTGGACCCTCAGTGAGCTTCTTCCTTGGATGCTCCTCTCACAGCCCTAGGCTTTTCCTAATCTCTCTCCCATTAGCATTTAAATGTGCTCCTGGCTCTTTTAATAAAAAAGACGAAGCCCTCACCCAACCCTGGGTCCCTATGAAACCACGGCCCCCCGCCCCCCGTTGCTGTTTCTTTTTACAGTCAGTGTTCTTCAAAGTGTTGTCTGCATTTATTGTCTCTAAGGCTTCCCCTTCCCATTCACTTTTCGACCCTCATGATCTGCTTTCACAGACCACGCTTCCATGATTGCTGCATGCAACTCCTTCAGCTGGAATCACTGCTGACCTCCGGATTGTAAGCCTAATGGACACTGCTTCTCGGGCCTCCCAGACTCAAGCTTCTGCAGTGGAATGCCATTGATAGCTCCACCCCAGAGATGCTCTCCTGCCTTAGCTCTTCCTGGGTTTCCTTCTTTCCTCTAGCTGGTCTTTTTCACTCTTCTTCCTGAGATCCTCTCCTTCTGTTCATCCCACCTAGAGATTAGGGTTTTGCAGAGTTCTATGCCTACTCTCTGCAGCTCTCAATCATCACCTTCTCCTTGGGTGGGCAGATTCTCTTCAAGAGTTCAAATGTGATTGTGATGCTGATGACCACCCACTGGATGGAAGCCCAGCCAGGAGTCCTTCCTGAGGACCAGATGGGGCAGTCACCGCCTGGAGGGGCATCTCCTCTTGCTCTCCCCAAACAGGATTCCTTCCCTCACCCCTCCAACCTGCTCTTCTCCTTTGCTCCCTATCATGATAAATATTATCTCCAATCACCCAACTGGCCAAATTAACCATTATGTGAGACCCAGCTCTGACCAATCCCAGTGGGTGTTTCCTCTGCTCCACCTGCTTATTTTTGATGGTTCATTCTCCTTTCTACCCTTTCCCACTCCATCACCAAGTTTAGCTGATTCTACCTTCTTACTCCACGTGGAGTTCATCTTCTTCATCTCTACTGCCACAACCGTCCTCCAGACCCCCATAGTCTCTTGCTGGGATTTATGAGCAGCCTCTCTGTCTGCTCCTTCTGTCTTGGTGTGCAGACACTCTCCCATTCATTCTCCACACAGCTGCCAGAATGAACTTCTAAAAATGCGAATCTGTTCATGGCATCCCCCTGCCTGAAATTCTTCAGGGCTTCCCTGATGCCTTCAGGATAAAGTCCAAACTCCTTAGCGGGGTGTCCAAGGCCCTTCACATCTTGTGGTAATATGAGCATGACTAGTATTCAGACTTGGATAGACTCAGGATAACTCGGGTAGACTTGTGTTCAAATACTGGCAGTATTTTGGCTATGTGACTTTGAGTAAGTTACTTAACCTCTATGAGCCTCCACGTTCTTATGTGTATAGTGATGGTAATGTGCCTACCTCAGAGGATGCTGTGAGGATAAAATGAAGTAATGCATACTTGTCTTTTCAACTCTAGAAAATTCCTTGCTCATTATAGGCATGCAGCACATTTATTCCCCCTCTCTGCCTCTTGCCTGTCAGCTTTACACACAATGCCCTCTGATCCTGTGCCCCTGAGCTGCTGTCCTCCCTGGAAGATGCTGCACTTCCTTCTCACCTCTCCACCCAGCTTACACTGTCTGTAGCCCTGTGCCTGCCTCAGCACTTTCCTCTCTTTGCTTGAATAACTCATCATAATCGTTAGGGTTCCTTGCCGGAAGTTTCTCCTGAGCACACCAAGGCTAGCTGCTGGGCCTAGATGTTTCCAAAGCAGTCATTTCAAGCTCCTGTCAAGGACTGCCCTTCATTGTCTTACAATTACCTTCTCAAGCACTCCTCCCTTTGCAAGGCATCTCCTCCAGGGTAGGGATCATGTCTTACTTATCTTTATATCCCTGGTACCTACGTAGTACCTCAGGCACACCAGGCTGTTAGTAAACATTTGCTGAATGAACAAACTTAAACATGAACTCTATCCAGGTGGTATTCAAGCTCTTACTCTCATTATTGATTTGCTTATAACATGTTCATTCTTGTTTATTTTTCTGTTCCTCTTGGGAGCAGGTGCTGTCAGCCCATCAGATTGTAAGCTCCCTGAGGGCAGGGTCCCCACAGAGGGTGCCTATAGAATTAACCTATTGGTGACTTTC